CGCTGCACCATAAAGTAACTGTGTAATTAGGGTTAATTTCTCGCTCCCGCAAGTGATGTCTTACTTGGGGCCTAAGGGAAGTCAGCCGGGTGGTTATTCACCCGCAGAGCGGCCCTCTTCACTCTCTTTTTTTTTTTGGAGGTGGGGGATGCTCCCTTAGCTTTCATCCAGCGGGGAGGAGGAGGAAGGAGGTGGAAGGTGGCTGCTTCTGTCACAGGCATTCTTCATGCTGCATAGATTCCCGGGGCGCCGGCTCTGCGTGGCGGGGCTGGAGCGGGGTGCGTCTGAGGAGAGAGGAGCCGGCCAGCGTCCAGCATCCAGCCAATCAGGCGATGGCTAATGCTGCAGCCCCGCCCTCGCCGGGGGCCCCTGCTGGGACTGCGGCCCAGTTGCAGGGTAACCTGCCCATGACCAGCCCCTCGCTGGCTGTTCCCTCTCCGCTCTCTCTCTCTGTGCCTCCTGGGATCACCCCCGAATAAGCGGCTGCTCCCAAGCCCCTGGCTGAGTCTGCTTTGGGGGAACCCAAACTAGACAGGAGGTGTGAACAGAGTGTGGAAGGAGCCAGAGCAGAGAGGGTTGGATTCAGCCTGCCGTGCAGGGAGGGCGTGAGCAGGGCTTCATGGAGGAGGGCGTCTTGAAGGATGAGAGCGAGGAGAACAGGCAACGCGCAAAGCAAAGGGGGCAGAGAATCGCGTGTTTGCTGAGCTCAGCGGGCCTGGCCTGGTGCCCGAGGTGCATGGAGTAGGGGCAAGGGGTGGGGGGAGGGGGCCGAGGCCAGACTGCAGGGCCTTGAAGGGCAATGGGGAGCCATTGAGGGTTTAAGGCCAGGAGTGACACAGCTAGATTCGAGGGGTTTTTTGGCTGCATTGGGTCTTCATTGCTGCGCGCGGGCTTTCTCTAGTTGTGGCGAGCGGGGGCTACTCTTCATTGTGGTGCGTGGGCTTCTCATTGTGGTGGCTTCTCTTGTGGAGCACGGGCTCTAGAGCCTGGGCTCAGTAGTTGTGGCGCACGGGCTTAGTTGCTCCGCGGCACGTGGGATCTTCCAGGACCAGGGCTCGAATCTGTGTCCCCTGGATTGGCAGGCGGATTCTTAACCAGTGCACCACCAGGGAAGTCCCTAGATTCGCGTTTTAGGAGGTTTGGACTAACGGAGGATGGGCCGTGTGGAGAGGAAGCAGGGGGCTGCTGCAGCTGTCAGCAGAGAGGGCTGGGTGCTGGAGCTGTCAGTGACTGTCCCGCGTTGGGCTTGTCGGTGCACAGTCACCGTCAGGACAGCGTGATCCCAGGGCAGAGACTTAAACCTGCAGTTCCTACCTCCCGGCTACTCGCTCAGCCCCTCTCTCCCCGGCCTTGTCCAATGTCCAGCTTTCTATCCTCTTCCTCTCAGGGAACGAGAACTACTGGATTCCTCACTGCGCACCTGCTATTTGCTCTTTTTTTTTTTTTCTTCTTCTGGTACGCGGGCCTCTCACTGCTGTGGCCTCTCCCGTTGTGGAGCACAGGCTCCGGACGCGCAGGCTCAGCGGCCATGGCTCACGGGCCCAGCCGCTCCGCGGCATGTGGGATCTTCCCGGACTGGGGCACGAACCCGTGTCCCCTACATCGGCAGGCAGACTCTCAACCACTGCGCCACCAGGGAAGCCCCTATTTGCTCTTTATCACCAAAAGTATTTACAGCTGGTCTCGCTCCCCCAGACGGGAGATGCGGCTGCAGCAGGACACCCTCCCCCGCCACCCAGATAGGTTTATGAAGTATAGAAGAGAGTTAGGACCTGGGAGAAACGTTTAGGAACTGAGATCCTGCCAGCCGCCTGGTGCAGCCAAAAAACAAACAAACAAACAAAACCCCCCAAAGCCAAGACCGTTCCTGCTGCTGAGAACTTAGTGACTCATCACATTTCTCTTTTTGACTCAACTGCCAGGAAGCTCAGAGCTAAGATCTTGACACTAAATTCTCCCAGAAATTTCTCTTGAGGGCTTTTCAGTGGGGACCCTGAGGGCTGATTAATTCTTAGGGGAATTTTTGTAGTAGAGGATCGGGTCAGAGGTGAAGGGAAGGGACTGGGTCACTGTGTCGCTCTGGGTCTGTCAGGCTGTGGCTGCTTCGTCCCCTTCAGAGATGGGGACAAGAGTCAGATCAGCCTCCCATGAGGTGGGGTCTAGGAGGCGTTCAGACCCTAAAGCTTACTAACTCTGGGTAACTGTGGGCCTCGGTGACACCCAGCCATAAGTTGTATCTCACTCAGGACCCAGAGGCCGGCCCCCCGCCCCACTTATTTTAGAGAAAGGAAGGTGAACCTGAATCCTCACCATGGGACCTGACTACACAGCGCATCTGTAGTTTCCCGTTCTTGCCTCCCAGCCTATCCTGGGGCAGGGGCCATGGTGGGTGCCCCCAACTTAATTAAGAACCAGTAGTCCCAGACGGTGGGCTATGGGTTCCTTGAGGGGGGATGGAGGGGCACAGAGCCCGTGTGGCTGAGTGGGGCGGGAGAGTCAGGGACCAGGCAGGAGTGTCCTGAGGGCTCCTGCAGCAGGCAGGCCCTGGTGTGGCTTGTAGCCGTGGGCCCGGCCTGGTCCAGGGCAGCAGAGAGAGGGATGAGGTGGGATCTGAGAAATGTAGAGGGGGCTCGAGCAGGCTAACGCAGGTAACACACACAGGAGGCCCTCAAAAACCATTCGCTTTTGTGTCTACCCATCGTCTGTGAGGCACCTGTTTGTCTCTGTGGTGAGACTTCACGGGATGGGAAGAAATCCTGGGCTGGGATTTGATGGGTCTCGGCAGGTGTGCTCAGGGGCTCCTGGGACGCAGTACCTGGGTGGGTTCAGTCTGGCGTGGGCTGGGATCTCCCACCTCCAGCACACCCAGCAAAGCATAAAGCGAGCCCACTGGCAGGAGGGAGAGAACCAGGCAGAGAAGGAAGAGGGTCTGTGTTTGAGAGGTTGGGGCCTGGGGGAGGGGCTGCCTGCCACGGGGTGGCTCTCCTAGGCCTGGTGTGTGTGTGCGTGCGCGCGTGCGCGTGTGCGTGCCAGTGTGAGAGCCTGTTTGTGTGCCCGTGTGTGCTGCCCCCGCAGTGCCTCTATCACACACATCTCCCTGGCTGCCTGGAGAGCTCTTTCCACCAAATACGAACATGACGGTGTGGCTCACCCACGCGCGGAATCCTTACGCCGCCCCACGCCTTCGGCGCCCCCTTCCCAGATCACCCACTACCCCTGGGTGCCTCAGCCCTCACCTTCTCTGCCTGGCTGCTGCCCCCACTGACCCCCCTCCTGCCCCCTCCTCGGGACCCCTGGTCTCCGTCTCCAGTTCTTAGGTCTCTGTCACTTTTTTTGTCATGTCCCTTCATCTGAATTTGGGCCCTGGTAGGAGTGAGTGTGGCTGAGGGTGTCCAAGGAGTGAGTGTGTACGTGTGTGCGCACCAATGGTTGTGTGCAGACGTTTGATTCCGTGTTGCATTTGTGTGTGTGTGTGTGTGTGTGTGAAAAAGGAGAGAGAGAGAGCACACAAGCATGGGAGCCGGAGCCTGTGCCCCAGAAAGCCGGGAGATGATGGATGGAGGCATTTCAGGGAGACAGAGCTTTCACTCAATTACTCTTCAAGCAGCGGGAGGGGGCGATGGCTCCGCAACAGTCGGACAGGTTTGCAGGGTGTGTAGGAAAAGCCTTCACTTCCCGCTGATGGCGGCGACAGGTGGAGCTGGCAGCAGTGCCGGAGTCTCAGGGTGGGGGGCCCAGGTCCGGTGACTGGGATGTCTGGGGTCAGGCTGGGGCTGCAGGCCCCTGGGGCCTGTCTTTCAGAGGGGGAAACGGGGGGCAAGAAGCAACTGAGCAGGAAGGGTCTGACGGACGTGCAGGAAACTATAGAGGGGACACCGGAGATCTGCCTCCCCTGGAGATCTGGGGAGGCCTCCTGGAGGAGGCAGACTGGAAGGGGAGGGGGACCTGTTTGGTGAGGCCCCGAGGATGAGAACTGAGGCAGTGGTGAGGGCTCCAGTGCTGTCTTTGCTTTTCGGTCTCTCCGCTGCCTGAGTGCAGACGCCTGAGGGTAGGGGCCGGTCTGAGTCAGCACCTAGACTGGCCTGGTTCATCATGGACACAGGTGTGGAGAAACTTCCAGGACTCCAGGGGCATCTGCACAGAACCTGAGGAAGGTTTCAATGGACAGAGATGATGGAGGTGTTGCAGGCAGAAGGGACAGTGGGAGAAAGGCCGGGAGTGGGCCCTGCGAGGCTGGAGCCGGCCGCCTTGCGTGCCCAGGAGAGGGGTTATTCCTGCAGACCAAGTACAGTTTGCGCCTGGCCTCGTTGAGCTGGGAGTTGGGGAGTGGGGGATGGGTGTGAGGCGGCGGAGGGGGGCAGAACTGGTGTGACTCCTGGCTTGAGCCTCTACCCGTTTGCTGGGTGACCTGGGACATGTGATGTCACCTCTCTTACAGCCTCATCTCTTCATAAATCTGGGCGTCTAACCCTGGCTTGGGGGGCCCCTGGGGGCTTGGGGAGACGGAGGGACTGGGGCTCCACTCCGGCCTCTGCCCTCAGCAAAATCTTCGCAGACGCTGCTGCTGCTGTGCCTGTGATGTCCAGTCACCGTCTGGGCTCAGCCTGGGGGCCTCTCGGCAGTTCCTCCGTGCTCCCCTCTGAGGAATGGGGCGAATCCTCCCTGTTTCAGAGGCTGCCCTGGAAGCGCGGGCAGGAGCCGCCTGACACAGTGCTGGGTACGCGGTGGGGCCGCAGGGTCTCTGCCCCTCCATTCCCTCTGCCCCTGGCCGCATCTACCGGGACCCTCAGGGCAGTCCACGAGGTGGATGTCACCTGCGCTGCTTACAGAGAAGGAGACGGGCCCAAGGAGACAGCCCAAGGCCAGAGGGCTGACTGGGGCTTAGCCGGGTTTCTGACCACTTTTCTTACCCTGTCCAGGCAGGCGTGGGCGTGGCTGGCCCGGCCGTGGCCCTGCTGTCCCTGTGCTCTGGGCCTCACTCTTCTCCCCTCTCTTTGCAGGATGGTCGAGTACTCCCTGGACCTCCAGAACATCAACCTGTCGGCCATCCGCACCGTGCGTGTCCTGAGGCCCCTCAAAGCCATCAACCGTGTGCCCAGTGAGTTGGTGCCCCCTGCCCTGCCCCAGGGCACTCACTCACTCAGCAGAGACTGACCGGCATCTCCCCATGCCAGGCCTGTGCTGGGCACGGGATCCTTCAGTGACTGGACAGACGTGGGCCCTGCTGCCAGGGGTTCACGGGGCACTATTTGGGCCTGAAGATGTTGGAAGGTGGCCCTGGCGCCTCTGGGTCCCAAAAGGACTCAGACTGCAGCAAATACTGGCTTTTTAGGGACAAGGTTCCTTGTGGGGGGACTATCAAGGTGGCAGGTGTGTGAAAAGAAGCTGCTTGGTTTGAGGGAGGGCGTCGTGCAGCATTCCACTGGGGAGGGGCTCCCAGACCCCCCACTTGTGCCGACTTGGAGCTCAAGCTCCCGACCCACCCACTGACCCCCTCCATACGTTCATCCCCCACAGGTCCATCCACCCACTCCCCCATCTGACCGGCTGCCCATCCATCTGTCCGCCCACCTAGTATTGAGAGAGGTTATCTGATAACAAAAACCCCTGACACCTGCCCAGAATCATCCAGCTTTCAAAGCTTTTCATCTCTGTGATTTCTTCGGAGCCTTGCAGTCCCCCTGGCGGGAGGTGGGTTAGTCTCATGAAAAACTGAGATGAAAAAACTGAGACTTGGAGACTTGAGGTTACTTGCCCAGGAGGTCTCCTGACTCTTTCCACTGCCCTGTGTCTCGAATGGGATGGGGATCTAGGGAAGGAGAGGGGGAGGACCCTGCCTGCAGGGGGCTTCAGGCCTGATGGGGAAGGTCAGGAACTTTTAGGAGCATCTACTCACCTCCTGTGTGCCAGGCTCTTGACATGCCGCTGGCTGACTTAACCCTCTGAACAACCTATGTGAGGCTCAGAGAGGTTAAGTGGCTTGCATAAGGTCACACAGCAATTCAGGGGCAAGGCAGGGATCTGAGCAGAGTTATGTCTGTCCTAAGCCCAGCTCTTTCCCTGGCTCTGTCTGACCCCTTGCTTCTCTTCCCTGCCTGAGCCTCAGTTTCCCAATCTGCAGAAGGTGAGAGGGCTCCTGGCACCTTGTCCTCCTCCACAGTCACCACTGACCCCACTCTGCCAATACCCAGGCTTGGGGCCTTGGGGGTCCCTGCCACTCGCCCTGCCCACCTCTCTGCAGCCGTCCGCTGTGAGTGCCTGTGGGGCCAGCCTGACTCTGGGCTCACAGAGCGTGTTGGTCAGCCCGCACAGGCCTGGCTGGGCAGTGGAGGCTGTGCTCTGGGATATTTGTGGAGCAAGGTGACCTGGGAGGGCAGGTTGGCACAGGTTGGGTGAATTACATAGGGGGTCCTGGAGTGCTGGAGTCTCAAGGTCGCATATACAAGGTCACCTCCCCACACATGAGCCTTGACGTGATGGGAAACTCCAGGGGCCCCTGAGAGTTGCTGTGAAGGTCCTGAGGCAGGGGGGTTGAGAGATGGGGGTGGGGCTGGGGGTGAGCGGTGAGAACCAAAGCTGTGGGAGAGGGGGGAGGGGCAGTTCAGCTATATCACCTTTGCCCCTCCCACTGTCCATCCAGAGAGGCCATCCTAGGTGGCAGACTGTCTCTGTCCTTCCCACTTGCCACCAAGCCTAGAAGTCTCCTTAAAGATTAACTTGTTCAAAACCATCTTTACCCCTTTTAACAAATGTGGAGAATGAGACCCAGAGAGGGCCATGACCAGCCCAAGGTCACACAGCAGGTTAGTGGGAGGGACTAAACTGGAGCCTGTTTCTAACCAGCCCACCTTGCCCAGGGGTGCATGTTCCTCTCTCTCAGGCGCCACCTCCTACTGGGAAACTGACCACAAGGCAGACTTTGTTCCCTCAGCGCCCAGAACTATGCCTGGTGTGTGGAAAGCGCTCAGTAAATAGGTGTGAAGTGGACCTGCTGGCCAAGTTTATCGAGTAGCTGTTCTGTGCAGTCAGTGCTCAGACGGAGGGGTGCCAGGCATGTGGAGCTTATGGGGGTGCAGGGAGGGGCAGAGTGGGGGGCACTGGGGGTCTGAGGTGGAGTCAGCTGAGACCCAGCGGAGCGTGGGGATTGACCTGGCAAGGGAGTGTTTTAGAAACGCCTGGCAGAAGTGGAGTGGACACAGCGGATTACTCTGGTAGTGTGGGTGAGCCGTGCCCGGGCCAGGCAGGGTGGAGAGGAGCAGGTGGGCAGAAGCCCTGGTCCCCACCCTGGAGAGTCACGGAGGAAGCCCAGCGTCTGGCCTGGGCAACCTCAGCAGGGAAGGCACCGGGCAGGGGCCGCATCTTTCCTGGGCGCCCCCTTTGTGCTCCCCATTTCTGTTCCAGGGGAAGGCAGGGGTTGCCCTCAGGAAGCAGCCACCGTGTGGCCACTGTCACGCTCCTAGCCATGCAGCCCACAGGCCCGGTACCCTTTCCAGAGATGCGGGTGCCTGTGCCGGGGTCACACAGGGGCGTTTGTACACGATTCTGCATTCTGCGTCCCCCGTCAGGTCTCGGGATCTGACAGGCATGGGAGCAGCGACGTGACAGGACATTTCAGAAGAGATGGTCTGGGTGGGGGGCAGACAGGATACACACACAGGGTATGGGCCTCTCTCTCCGGGTGGGTTTCTGTACACCTGTGCGCGTGTGTGCGCGCGTGTGGGTGTGAGGGTCTCTGTATCTATGAGAGACCATGTGCTGTATGTATATGTGTGTGCACGTGTGCGGGGTGTGGGCCCACGTGCCTCTCCTCCCTGCCCTTTTCGCCCTCTCTCGCTGCCCGCGTGAGGAGCTCATTTGCAGCTGCGGGCTGTAGGGGTCACTTCCAGGTCCCCAGAGCCAGTCCGTTCACTTCTCTGGAGAAGGGCGGGGCTGGGCCCTGCGCTCCTGGAGGTTCCGATTTTGGAGGCTGGGTAGCCCCAAGGGCCCAGAGAGGAGTTCGGCTCTTTCCTTAGGGGCCTCTTTCCTTCTAATAGGCTTCGCTGGGAGGCCCAGGGTGGCCTGAGGTGGGCAGTTCTGTTTCCACTCCAAGCTGATTCTGCCTCTCAGCTGACAGACGAATCTCGAATCTTGCTTTCTCAGAACCTGGAGGCACAGCGCTCCAGGATCCAAAATAGAACCGATGCGCCCCCCTGGAAAGGGACCTTAAGATAAATCCATCTTCATGAGCAACTTGATTAACAGGAGCCTCAGGCTGTTGGAGCAGGTCCTCTGATCCAGACCCTCATTTACAGAAGGGGCAGCGTACTTCCCAGGTGCCAGGAGCTCTGCCCAGGGTCACTGGGGAATGAGTGGCATGGGGGGCGGGGCACAGAGTCTTAGAAGTGTCTCTTCGAGAAGTTTGGTTGGTTGCCTTCTTTTTTCTTAGATGTTTCCATGAACATTCCGGGTCCTCCCATTTATTTAGAGCCGCTTCTGCCCTGGGACGCCTTCTTTTCAACAATAGCCTGTAGCTTTCCATTTGGCCACTAGATGGCAGGCTAGAGAATTGGGACTAGGCAAAGTGAAATTATGGGTTATTAATTGCAAAGCTGTGGAGAGGGGGGTGGCTGCCTGTAGTTTAAAAAGTAGATTAAAAACACGACCAACGAGGAAGACTCAGTTGGGTTGTCAGGGAATGTAATTTCTACTTCTTAGCTCTGCAGGGAGCCTGCTGTGTGACCTGGGAAGCCCCTGGGTGTCTCTGGGCCTCAGTTTCCCTATTTGCACAAAGGAGGAGGAGGGACTGATTAGATGTGTGGTTCTGACTTTGTCCAGGATGGTTGGGGCACCTGGGAGTCGTGGTGCTCTTTACAGAACCTCGTTAAAAATATGTCCCTCCACCCTACTCCTGCCAGGTCTGTCCTGGACACTGAACCATTGGTGGATAAAGGGCAGGAGATAGTGCATGGGAGGAGGTCAGGGAGGGAGGGAAGAAGCACTAGACTGCCAGTCAGGAGGCTGGGTTCTGGTTCCTCGCTGTGTGACCTTTCATAAGTTGCTATCCCTTTCTGGGCCTTGGCAAGATGGGGCTGGATTATCTCTGAAAGCGCCCCCTCCTGGCACCAGCGGACTCCAGGCCTCACCCAGCCTATACACCCCTCAATCAGCTGCAGTGCCTCCCAAAGCCCATTGGCCAAGCCATTTAAATATGAAAAGTGCTTTTTTCTCCAGTAAGAAACTAGGGCAGTTCTGCTAAAGCCTGAGCCGGCTGAGTCTGAGCTGCTGGCCCACATCTGCACCCTGCCACTGCACACCCTGCCCAGCCTGTGCAGGGGGTTGGGAGGGAGGCCTGGGGAGCGCAGGGGCAGCTGCTGGGGATGCTGATCCTCGCCTGGGCCCCTGCCCCCTTCCTGGAGCCCAGTCCAACTAACAACCCCTGGGTCAGCAAGAAGCCACCTCTGTGCAGGGGCCTCTGGGATGGGGCTGGGCTGGGCAGGGCCCAGGGACAGGGAGGCAGAGCTGACAGTGCTGTGGGTGAGGCTCCTGTCCGGCCCCAGCTGCAGGCAGGACTGGAGACTTACTCTGTGCTGACAGGCCCCGGTTCTAGTTCTTTCACCTGGCTGTTATGGGACGCTGGGCCTCTATTTCTCCAACGATAAGATGGGGTTAATAATAGCAATTTCCATATGGTTTTGTAAGGATGAAATGCCCTCAGGTGTGTAGAGAGCTTAGCACGGAGCCTTGTATGCAGTAAGCGGCCAACAGGTGCTACTATTATGAAGAAGTTGCTGGGAGCATTGGGGGTGGAAGGTGGGGGTGGAAGGTAGGGGCGTCAGGACCTCTTTGCAGAGGCTGGTTTTGGAAGATGCTCAACAAGGACACAGAGGGCTGGGGAGGGTGGTCCCTGCAGACGGAGTGGAATTGCATGTGCCAAGGTGGAGAGCAGGAGCTGTCCTGGGAACAGTGGGCCTGGGCAGAGGACTGCATGTCATGGGGAGGTGGAAGGTGAGCATTCCACATCTTCTAGGGATTTCCTAATAATGATAAATGGCTAAAATTTATCAGATGCTTTACATGGGCTGTATCATTTCACCTTCATAACAGCCCTAGGATGTTGGT